CGCACATGTAGATCCGTAGTTTATCATTTGCATCATTTCTGTACTTCCTAAGGTTTTGCACACATGAAGCCATAATTGAATTACTGATAATATTAACTACATCCCAAATATCTGACAGGAAGGTTAATTTGGTTTTTTGTATCAGGTAATAAACAGTGTACACCTCAATCCACTCATTGCCAAGGAGCAGCTGGAAACATAATATTTAGAGAGTGAATAGATGCAGAATTATAATAGTAAACTATTTTAGACACAATCTCTGACCTGTGCCTCATAAATACAAAAGAGTACCGCTTTAGGGGAAATTTAATGGGATTCAAACAAACAATGTATGCACAAAGGCTTACAAGGTGTCACGTTTGCATTCAACATAGATTGAGGTGTTGAAATAAAGTTCAAATGGTTTTGAAAAGCTATAAAAAAACTCTTGAGCCACAAAACTTCCTGAAAATAGTCTGGAAGTGGAGAACTGTGCTGAAATAAACGACACGTGTAAACACGACAATCACAGTTGGCTGTAAACACTTGGCTCAGAATTAGGTTTCTGCATGATGCTGAAACAGAAAATGAATTAAATATGAATTGCATTGACTAACTTTTTCATTTTTTTAAAGCCGGGTGTGCTTTGCCCTGAAACTCATGGGTTTCTGCACCATCAACAACTGTGCGCATTAGAGTTTTCATATACTGCAGTATGAGGCAATCTACTGTGGTGTAAAACAGATCAATATACACACACAGCTGCTGTCAGGGTTTTATTCTAAGGCTAAAGCTCTGGACTGGATGGATATGCTGCAAGTTTAGCTGATTGTCTCCCAATATTTTGAATTTGACAAAAGAAAACTGATGCAAGGTTATATTAAAGAAGACAGTACATACAATAAGGAATAAACGCCTTTAATGAGCTGCCAGTTTCATTGTAATTGCATAAATATTGCACTACATTCACAGAATTTATTAATTTCACTAGAAAACACACTAGTAGAAGAATAAATGTTAACCCAAAAATGTAGTTAGTTTTTGTGTGACGTTTGATGAAGAGGTCAGCTCTTTGAAGGTTGTCAAACCAGCTTTAACTCACTAAAACCCAACTGACCTTTTTCCTTCTGCAAACAATTAGAAAACAACACAAACATTTGTTCAAATCCAAACCAGTAAAAGAACAACCAGTAAAACAAAATTCTCAAAAAAAAATCTTTTTCACATTTGTGCATCACAAAGTCATTGATCTAACAACACCACGTTTGCATTTCATCAGCAAGGAAACACCAATTGATGCCCACCTTGGCAGTAACATTTAACATGGTTGGTTACGCACGTCGGTTCAACTTTCATTAAATCAGTCTCTCTGATGTGGAATTCATTATAACTGGAACAAAAGTTATGCCTAATGCACTGTTTCTCCGTTATGTGTTCACTTCTTTTGACTGCTTTTGTGAAACTTTGTTGTTTCTCCAGATTCTGAGTGCAGTTTGACCATTGAAAATTTAAGACGACAAGTCAAGTGAACCTACCCACACCATGTGTGCAACACCTGAGCAGCAACAAGCAGGGTGCTCTGCAGAAAAATGCTCCAGATCTGACTCATTCTGGGTACAAATGATGGTTTTATTTAATTATTTATTTATTTACCAGCCCCCCCCCCCCCCCCCCCCCCCCCAAAAAAAAACCACTCTATGCTGTGAACCATTTTGCCAAAATCCAAAACTGCCCCTTTTCTCCAACCTGAGGTTGTTCTGCCATTAACTGCTCACAACCACTTGAAGTGTTTCACTTGAGAGTTTAACGATTTAATGCATCATACATCTCTGAGCACGTTATCTTCGACTCAGTAAGCTGATAGAAACTCTCCTGCTACATCCAGCTTCATAAGGTCTCATGCCACAGCAGCAACACTGATGCCATCAAGGGTCAAAGGTGAAGTCAGTAATGCATGATTCAAACTACTGGTTTACTTGCCTCTGAGATTAGCTAAATGAAAGGGCACTAGAGGGTAAAAGCGCCTTCACATGTCAAGTGGATGTAAATGTCAATAATTTTTGGTCTCACCAGCTGAATAACAACAGAGAATTTGTAGTTTCTGCTGTTCGGGGAATCCTAAAAGGTTATACGCAAATATTTATAACACAAGCAGTGGCCGTGTGTGTTAGCATGTTGAGCACTATAAAAGAGGCGAGCCACTGCTATCTGCTTGACATTTCTGTCAGCGTCGGTATTTGAACTGCTGGGTAGCTTTGACAAATGCCATGACTGTCACAGGCTCGATTTTAATTACACCTGACTGGGCCTTTCAGTATGAACTTAATTAGCCCACAAGCACTTGGGGTAGTTGTGGTGTGAGCTGGTCTTCCATGGCTTTTATTGGCCTTTTCATACAAACTGAGAGAATTAACAAATACGGGAAAAGAAAATGTACTCGAGGGACTGCAGGACACTACTTTCCTATAACAACTGGTGTGTTAATGCTTGGCTGACGTATAAACAAAGATGATTTGAAATGCCAAAAGCTATTGAAAAATGAAGTCTATTGATGAATGTGTTCATCCAAATATCACACAACAAAGTATTTGTGTTGTAAAACAGAATCTAAATGAAAACGATCTGTTGAATGAATGGCTAGACAATTGCTTTGTGTAAAGCAGAACTATGAGACACAGCATGGAATATATATATATATATATATATATATATATATATATATAAAACATCAGAAGATATTACTAAAGGCTACATTGAGGCTATTGCTTTCAATATCCACATGAATGTTAAAATCCCCCACTATAATGACCTTATCAGTATTTAGCACCAAATAACATAAAAAAAATCAGATCTGAGCCAGAAACTCAGAATAAAGGCCTGGTGGACGATATAAAACTACAAGCAAGAGTGGTTTTACAGTTTTGCAATCTGGATTAGGAAAACTAAGAATAAAATTGTAACTATTAACTGGTAAGGGAATGATTAATAGGTCTGAATGAAAAATGGTTGCTACTTCTCCTTCTCGCCCTGTACTTCGAGCAATACATGATGATTTAAATAATTAGGAGTTGACTCGTTTAAACGAACATAGTCCTCTTGCTGCAGCCAGGATTCTGTGAGAGAGAACAAAGAGTTCTGATTATCATAAATCAAGTCATTAACTACAAAATCTTAGAAAAAATAGACCTAATGTTCAATAAACCACATTTAATTGTTCTAGTTTTCTGTTCAGTTGAATTTGTTCTAATTTTTATGAGATTTTCATGATTTGCTTTATTAGATCTGATTTTTAATCTGTTTCATTTTGGCCATGGGCAGGACACTGTCTCAATGGGGTAGTGGGTGGGTAACAGTGCAGAAGCTGCAGAGCGGTGGGTTAAACTACGACTCTGCTTCCTGGTCTGGACCCTGAGTTGTCATGGAGGACTGATAAAACTGGCCATGTTCCTAGAAAGAAGAGCTGCTCCATCCAAAGAGGGATGGATGTCGTCTCTTTGCCGTCTCTTCATCTGAAGGTACTTGAACCTTACCAGGCACTTGAGGCAACTGAACCTACTTATCAGTGCACTGAGTTCATTTCATTATGCCAGTTAATTAAAAATTTCCTGTGTAAGAAAACCCAGCAGATTGCACTGAGTCAGTGCATGCAATCATTATGTCTGACAAATAATTACAAAAAAATCACAAATAAATTCATTTTGAACATGTGACAGCAGCTTAAGAACTTCATGAATCAACAGGAGTGAACATCAGAAAAAATGATCTGATTGGTACTTTTCATTTTTAATCAGTAAAATTACCCGAATTCACAAGATGAAGCAGGAGTTAGAGCTTTTACTGTGACCAGTCACTTGAAGGTGCTTGGTTGGACTTGGCTTCAATCATTTTGCTTGCGTGTTATAAATGTAGATGACTTTGTTATTTTGCTAATGACATCACACCTACTTCAACAACATAAAAATGTCAGTATTTCTGTAGGACTTTTATTTTCTTGGGTATGTACTTTTTTAAATAAAGGGAAGAAATTGATAAAGTGTTTAAAATTGTTTAATCATGGCATTAGATGAAATGTGAAAGAACCATTCAAAAACCATGTGGAAAGTGTCTCAAACTAAAGATTGTGTGCATGGGGGAAAAATAGTAGACAATCTCTGTTCTCCCAAAATGTCTTTTCTGCGTCGCAAAAAGGACAAGTAAAAGTTGTTCTGCAGTTTAGGAGCCTTTGTTAGGAAGATGCAATATTTTGCAAAACAAATTATGGGGCGATGGTGGCAGAGGAGTCAAGTGCCAGCCCCACAACAAGAGGGTTGCAGGTTCAAGTCCTGCTCAGTCCATTGCGGGCGTTGTGTCTTTAGGGTATTTGTGACTTTTCAGTTTCAGGTTTAGCACCCTGTCAACTAAAGATGATACAGAGAGCAGAGACCCAGTAGCTCTCCTCTGCAGATGACAAGGCCATGCAGATGATTAAGTGGTTGGTACTATTTAATGAACACAAAGCCATCCACATGGAAGGACATTTTAATTGAAATCTCCTTTTGTTTAATAACTTAACACATTCTAAGCGAGTCTCTTGTCGAGAGATATCGGAGGCTAGTGTGTGTGTGTGTGTGTGTGTGTGTGTGTGTGTGTGTGTGTGTGTGTGTGTGTGTATGTGTGTGTGTCAGGTCACACTCAGTTTAATTTTACTGAACTGATCTTTGCTCGTCTGAGTTTTTGATGCCATTCTATTTTGCTCATCAGTGAGACGACACTCCACCTCTCCTCTTTATCTACCCTCCTCCAGTATTGTCAGTGTTAAAATAGAATGTTACTGTTGCTCAGTTTCGCCCACTTAACACCAACCGTTCCACAGAAGTCGAATCTTAAGTGGCTCTCTTACGAAGAACTGAGAATCAACCTTGTTGAGTGTCTTCTCCTCTTCTTGGTTCTTTGTTCTTTTCACTGCTTTGTTAAAAAAAAAAAACAGAACGCTGTCCATTCACGGCTGGTTACACCAAAGAAATGCAAACATGAACTTCATATACCAAAATCAAATAATTTATTATCAGTTATTTTGCAAAGATCACCGTCATCACATATTTCACCTTGCTACAAATGTGTCACCAATGCATTACTTGAATTAGACATGAAATCAAAACGTACAGAATTCCATTTGAAATTTACAATACTTCCGTTAAAAGGAGGCATTTGAATGAGTACTGTACATGAACTATGAAGACGTTCGATAAAAGGCAAATCTCACCAGATCTTAAGTGTTCTGAGTCCTGCTCAGTGGCAATCATCCAAACACCCGTTTTCTGTGACTGCAAACTGAATTCACAACACCTACAGGAAGTCTTTGAATGTAGCTGAAAATGTAAAGGATCGTTTATGAATAAGGCAGAACAAAACCTCTCTGTTGCACAGAGTTGTACAGAAGATAGGTTGTGTCTGTGTGTGAAATCAGGTCATTGAGGTTTGGCTTTTAAGGCAATGATGAGTAAAGGAGATTAAATTATGATGTTAAAAAATACTAGCATGTAAAATCTACCTGTTATTGAACATTTGTTGTGAAAAAATCTGTGTTACAGTACAATGAGATGCATCAAAAGTATACATCTTCGATTTAGCAGGTTAATGTGAAACTGAAGTCACAAACATTTAAACATTTTTCAGAATTTCTTTTGAAAAAAAAAGACACGTTATAAGATTTGAATAATTTTCAGATAACCAGAAAGTAGAAATAAAGACACTGAAAACTGCATGTGCTCTGCAGGACTTCATCTTCATACCTGATCAGATGAATGCCATGGCCACCATGATGAGTGGGAGTATTTTCTGAAAATCCAAGTTGTATTGTGAACTAAGACTTGAAAAAGATGAATACACAGGCTAAACAATACCGATGTAGGCCATTTATACAATATGAATGCAGCTGTTTTGCCTCTGTGTTCAGTTTAAAGGTGCATTCTGTAGAAATGAAGTAAAAATGACCTGTGCTGAAATGTGGTTACTGCAACCACTTTAAACAACTCTGGAGCTTTTTGCTGGTCGTCATCAAATTACAATTGTCGGCACTGCAGCATTAGCTCGCAGGAGACATGGCAACCCCGCACTCACTGATGGTTAACAGTAGTTACATCCCTACTTCCTTTGCTTTGAAAGTCGAAAAACTGACAATCCCTGCAGCCAGCCGGGTATGAAATATGTTCCAGCATAACCTTCCTTCCTAAATGACTGAAACATTAGACTCTTTTGGGATTTTTTTCCCCAGTCAAATTTTCACTATATTCTTCCATACTGCACCTTTAAGTGAACCTGACATCAGTAACTTCTGTTTTCTAAAATTGTAAACTTGTTCTCTGAGAAATCCTCTGCAATAATTTGACAGCATTTTTGTTATATTTATTTCCAATCATTTACAAAATACATCTAGAGAACTGATGTATAAAATGTGATGTTTTTAAAAGTGTAGACAGTAGAAAAAAAAGGAGCTTCAGTGCAAAAAGCTGAAGTAGGAAAGGCCAGTTAGTGGTCACCCTCTCCCAACAATACGATGTTCATCCTGTTGTTTTGTAACTGGTGAAACGAAATACATTTAAACTCATTCACTGCCAGCCGTTTCCTGATCACTAATGGCCTTCGCTGCCAACATTTCTCAGTTTTTACTGTTTTTTTAAGAGTCACAGAACGTTGCGCGCTAGCATGATGCCGATGCCAAAACAACCAAAACAAAGAGGAGACTCACCTCTTACATCAGGAAGAAGCCGCGTGTTCCGAGTGTTATCCGTTCTTTCATAATCCGTTGTCGAATTGCGATCGGCAGACGCTTTTCCGGTTCGCGCCTCACTTTTTTTACAGGGACAGGTGTCGGCCCAAAACGATCTCCAAACACATGGATGTGTTGCATCCTGATCATGTGATCTGTGATGTATGCGGATGAAGATCAGCTTCAGGGCTGAGATGTTTGTTCTCTCAGCGCGGGGGCTCGTTCTGATGCTCAAACAGTAAAAAAAATGCAAATGACGACTTTAGTCGTTATTGGCAGTGAACGGTTGGATCTAAAATGACGACTTTTGTCATCAATGGCAGTAAGAGCACAAAACTTAGTTACCATACTGGCTTCAGTTCTGAACCACCAACATTTATTTAGCCTTGGACTAACAACTATCCAATCCCATTGCAGTGATATCATATCGCCATGGCTTCAGCAGCAGTTGATAATGGATACTGATTGATATTGACACCATTCTGCAGAAATTTGCAGCAGGGATTTTCCAATAAAATATTTTTTTTCTCAATCAAATTTTGGGTCATTTGATTTTGACTGTCTGACGATACCGAGTCCTGATCCGATACCTTTCAGGGAATAATTAAAACAATAAGAAAAAAGAGAAAGACTTCCAAGCTCAGGTGTAGCAGGGAACTGAGAAACCCAGGTGTGTTGCAGTCCGTCTGCATTTTCTATTTGCTTCTCAACAAGCTGAAAGAGGTGTCAAGTGGCTCCATGTTTTTGTCCGAGTTGCCGCTGTGAACTGGGACTGTTAGTGGTGGACTGGGACTTAAAGGAGATGGTGATTCACTTTTTTGACACCCAAAGGGAAAGCCAAAAGAGAAAGTAGGTTGTTTTGAAGGCTGCGAATCATGCAGCTTACATCAAAAGTAATACCACCAAACTCATACATTTTCACTCTTCTGAGGAGACACGTTATTTCTACGTTAGCCTGCTAGCTAACAGCTGCATTGGTGTCTGAATCCCTGCTTGCTGTAAATTGTGATTTTATGGTGTTTTTGTCCAAGAAACAAAGAATATTGATGCAAAGGAACTTGCTGAAATTAAAATGAACGTGTTGTGTTTCCGCTTGAAAATCTCCATCTCAGTGTGAATTTAGAAAGTCATGTTTGATGTTTTATTCATTCTTTTCCACCCAATTTTGGTCCTAATAAAGTCACATGACGGGGCCCAATTTATGATCAAGTGATCAGATTGGAGCATCCCTAATCTGCAGGCTACAACACCTAATGCACATCTCTGATAATGCTCAAAAAATGTAATTATATTCTGAATATTGTACATGTTGACGGTTTACGTTATACAACTTTACCTTACTTTGCAGATCATGTTTACATACGAGTGGTAATAGCCCAACCTAAACAATAACACGTCCATGTGCAACATGTCAGAAGGTATTATTATTTTAAAAACACCAGAGAAATGCATTTAATTGTAGCTAATTGTAGCTGCCTGTGAATTGATGAAATTAATGAAAACTGAGCCTGGATCCACAAAATACTGATGCTTCAGTGCTGAAACCAACATAGCAATCAGAGATCACGTTTGAGTTTCTATAAAAAACAAATAACTTGTGGTTTTGCTAAATTGTTGAGGACTCCAACAAAAGCAGAATTTCCAGTTGATCAACAATATTCTCTAGTGCCAATTTTTAAACTGAGGTAATTTCTTTCTGGTTTGGGGAAAAATGTTATGTTTAAACCAACTTTACCTGATAAACATGGAACATAATTTTTGGTATTTATTCATTTGCTTCAGAAATAGTAAAATTAGCCGTTTAAAAGAAAAAAAAACTAAAAGAAAAGCCACTTTTTCAACCTTTTAAATGAAAATGAAGTGACCCTTCTTTCTAAACGTAATACAGCTTTTCATAGCAACCCTCCTTATATACTAAATGCCATGGCTGAATTATGTAAGACATATGCAGCTTTAAAGTTTACATTGGCGTCCTGCTTAAAGTTGAATATAAACAAAACAAAGTGATGTTTTCAGCCGCCTCCCAACAACACAAAAGAACACCATGTATTCAGGTTATCATAAACAGGTATACAAAGCTTGTAAATTAAAAACAAAAACAATGAAAGACAATTAGGAAAAAAAAATAAATTGCCAGCCTCCCTGCAGTTGATAGAAAAGTACAAAAAGAAAAAGAAAACCTCGGTTTCTTGTTCCGACTGTCTTGAGTTCTTGTGTTACAACATAAATATGAAAATAGAATTGCGGTGATAAATATGTTCAGAGTGAAATATTAAAATAACTTGTCATAGTTTCTTAGAAAAGGTTGTTTTTGCACATGTGAAAACCAATTCTGTACTACATCACCAAAACGTCCTGATGCCACTGATAAACTCTTCAAAAATGCATTAATTGTGTTACAAAGTGTGAAAAGTCCCTTTTAAAAACGCCACATTCAACGAGGCGAGCATATAGTACCACATGGGGTAGCCTGTATGTGGTTGTTTTATACAGTAGTGACTGAAAGGAAGGCATTGTTGACCTTTGCTCCCTCAGGAGCTTTGGTACCGTGAGTCATCAGCTCCTGAATCGTCATCCAGTTATCCAAGATCTTCTTATTGCGTTTCTTTAACATCTTCTTGTGACTCAGCTCAATGATGCTGACCTCCTTGCAGCCCTCGCTGCTGCTCTGAGGATTCTCCTTTAAGCTCTCCAGCCGACTGCGCTGCATGAACTCTCGCCTCCTTTTCTGTTCTTTTGCCCTGACCAGGTGCTGCTTCCTCTCCTCTTTGCTCCAGTACCTCCCCATCTTCATCTCACTCATTGCATCATCGTCCGTGGTCATTCCCCCACTCCTCTCCTCTTTGATCTTTAAGGCTCTCTCCCGCAGGATCTTGTCTCTCACTGGCCTCTTGGTGATGTAGCGGGTGCCGTCACTGCGGATCTTGACTTTCCACTCCATTTTGGGCTCATTAAGGGGTCTCTGAGGCTCTTTGCAGACGCTGAGGAGACTGAGCTGGCTCTGAGCATACTCGACAGCCGAGCGCTGCTGAATCAGCTGCATGTAGCTCTGATAGTGGCGGGCGTGAGCTGGAATGTTGGCCTGCCTCTGCTGGGAACTGTGGGATGGAGAGAAGTAAGGGATCCGAGATGTGCACTGCTTTAATTTGCCCCTACTGTCCCTCTCAGCGATCTCTTCTGTTTCGGAGGGATTGCTGTGGTCAGGGCTACTGCCTTTTCCTGGGACTGGGACACGGCAGGATGGCACAGGGCTCAGGCTCAGAGAGTGGCCCGTAGCAAGGCTGCTGCAGAGGTTCCTCTGGTTTGTAAGACTCATCATCCTCTTGAGTGAGTGTTCTGGGGAGCGGTCCATTGCTAAAGGGGTACTCCGTAAACTCTCTGCGGTGTTATAGGCACTGGAACTGTCCTTGTCAGATTTCTCCAGCCTCTCATTAGTGTCAGTCAGCTTACCTTTGGTGGACTCTCCACGGCTGGGGCTTAGACATTTCACAGTGAGACCAGAGCGCCCACATATAGGAGACTGCTGACCCTTACGAAGCTGATGAGCCTGCATGATGTTCTGACACTCCAGCTCGATGCTGCGCAGCTCCTCGTTGAGCATCCGCAGCTCGTGCTGTACGTCGTTTTGCTCCCCTATGTTGCACTCGATAGTGCTGCGATGGCTGTAGAACAGGTCGTAATCACCGCTGTTACGGATCTGGCACTTTAAGTCCAAGAGCTGCTGGTAACGATCCCCATCCGTCTCATCGTTGTCCTCATCTTCTTTGTCCTCTACCCGTGTGGTGCTGGCCACACAGTGCGTGTCCTGACTGTCTCTCAGGCACCGAGAAAGACGTCTCTGGATCTGGGCCAAGACATCGGAGCTTTCCTTTCTGTCTTTTATACTTTGTGCACTGCCCTTGTAGTGAGGGAGAGTTGAACAGGTGGGCTTCTCGTCTTCTCTCTGAAATAGAAAAAACATCAAGTTTATCAATAAAAGGCCAAACTGGAATTTATATGTTTACTTTGCTCCTCTTTTCATTAAAATTTATTGGTAACTATTCTCTGTGGAAACTGAGAACGAGAGCTGTTCCAGCTTAGCAAAATGTATCTATTTATTTTATTTAATGAAAAAGTCCATCGATGAACTGACTTAATAAAATTTAATCACGGGTTATTAATTATCTGCTAAATGTAGAATCTACAGAACACTTTCATATTTGATGAATTTTTGATTTTTCTTTGACTCTTGTGTGATTTTTTTACCTGATTTACTTAATTGCTTAGGTGATTAAAGTCGTTACTCACTCATTATTATGATTTGGAGTTTTACTCATTAATATTCATGATATACAATCCTCTCGCTTCTGATTGGCTAACAGCAACGTAACTTTCTGCTGCCTCCTTTTGCTCTGTAATGTTGATGTTTTACCTCTACAAATGGTTCCTCGCTGTCGTCGGGGTCAGGAAAGCGGTCCATTTCTTACCTGCTCATCTAAGGTCTGCTACATCTTTTCGTTTGTTTTGAACTTTATGAATATGTGATGCTCACCTGTAACTGTTTTTGATTTCTTTTATTTTTTCTTTTGTCTGAGCTATCTTGAGTTTATTTGATGTAAAGTAAGAGGACCCGCTCAAACACAAGATGATTCGTCTGAAGCGGTTTCATCCTTGTGAAACATCCGTTTGTAAATAAATAAATAACACAAGCCTGAAATAGTTCTGCCATGTGGTGGAGTTGCTAAAGCTAATGGAGGCATGCTTGCAGATCTACTCCATTCTAATGGGTGGGGGGGGGGGGGGGGTGGGGGGGGGGCTCTACGACAGTGTTGTTGTTTTAAGCCAGGTTTGTTTGTGCCCCCCTGGCCACTTGGTGTGTGATGCTCGTGGGTGGAGTGCCAGCGCTGTCTCTGTGAACCTCACCTTTAAATATTTTAGATACAGAAAAAAGTTGTCTTTTTTTTCTTATGTTTGGCAAAACGTTGGATACCCCAGAACAGCGCTACGCCCTCTGTTGTCCTAGCGGGGAATTGCTTAATTGCTTTGCAACACTCCAGGTGAGGGACAAGGCCCAAAGTAAAATTTCTCCGTGAATGAGTGTGTGTCTTTCCCTCTCGGAGCCGAAGGAGAAGTTCAAATTAGGCTTTAGCGATGATTTGTGACATTAGCCAACATTTTTGTAACGCATTCTCACAGCCAAAGTGGCTAAAACTGACGAAGGGTGACCAAGCGTTGTTGCCTGTGCCGCGCTAGCCTGGCCTGCCAGACTCCTCCTCTGTTTAATTCTGCACAGAGAAAGAGTCTGGTAACTCACAGGCAGAGAGGCACTTGAGGGGCGGGACTAGGCAGCTCAAAAATGACCAATCAGAAAAAAGATGGAAATCCCGACTGTACCGCACGACGAGGTAGATTTCTAGGTGTAGTAAAAAACATAGCGTCTGGCAACGGCGCAAACATCTTTTTTTTTTTGTTGAAGAAATGCTTTTAGCACTTCTACTTGTGGTTTTAAAGACATCTGAGTCATTTAGAACAGAGCAAAGAGTCGCAGCGAACTCCGCCGCTGTCTTCATTGTTTATGAGAAACTGAGCGTCGCTGTGTGTGACATCTGCGACGCTGTAGTTTTTTTAGCTGTAGTAAAAATGGAGTCTGGCGAAAGCGCAAATATCTTTTTTTAGAAGAGCAGCTTTTAGCGCTGTTGTGGTTTTAAAGACATCTGAGTCATTTAGAACAGAGGAAAGAGCCGCAGCGAAACTCCACTTCAAGTCACCATGTTTATGACAAACTCGGCGTTGTGGTGTATGATGTACGATACTCAGCGCTGATGGGCTCGATTAGAATTCTCACAGGTTGGGGGTAGTTGAATAGGAGAGTTCCCAGACTCTCACTCTGTGCAGAATTAAACAGAGGAGGAGCCTGGCAGGCCAGGCTAGTGCCGCGCGGTGCCAGAGTGTTGGTTTCTGAAGCCCGCAGGACAACGCACACTTCTCTGATATTGAACTTCCAGCCCAGGGGTGGGGAACCCTGGTCCTTCGACGATCGCTATCCAGCATATTTTAGTTTCAACCCTGCATCCTCGCACCTGATTTCAATCAGCAGGTGATTATCAAGCTTCTGCAGAGCTTGATGAGCTGCAGAACAGGTGAATCAACCACTGTGAGCGCCGTTATGGCTGCTCTCGCGGTCTGCCTGTATCTGTCCTGTCTATATGTGTGTGTGTAATCTTGGTCAGGCTGTTCTGTGGAGTCACGTTCCTATGCTCTGGATCGCTGGAGCGCTGGCAATAAAATTCTTTCTGATTCTGATTCTGAATCAGAAGTGTTGGAGCAAAGACATGCAGGATACCGGCCCTCGAGGACCAGGGTTCCCCGCTCTTGCTCTAGCCTCTTGCTATTTAACCTTCCCCTCACCCCCATCCAAACCTTAACCCAGTTTCTCATTCTAAACTTCTTGTTAACCATGTTTGAGAGGAACGATACGACTAGAAACAAAGTTTTGAATGCGCAAGTGGGTTAAGGTTAGGATGGGGGTGAGGGGAAGGTTAAATAGCAAGAGGGTGAAAATCACAATTCGGTGAAATCTCCATTTTACCGCGGACGTCGGAAACAAACGCTTGGTCACCCATCGTCAGTTTTAGCCGCTTCAGGTGTGAGAATGTGTTGATTTTTGACTCTGGTATGGGGGGTGACTTGTTTCTCTATATTTGTTATGTTGATACTTGAGAGTTAGTCATGCTGAGTATGACGTAAGTGTAAACAACATCCATCTTTTATTGTGGCATTTCTTTGAAATTAGAATATAAAACCAGAACTTATGATAATGAGGTCAGTGTTCGTCAGCTCTGATACCTGTGGGCTTGTGAACATGTTGTGCGACGACACCAAACAAAATTTTAGATTTGTATTTCTTCTGCTTGGAATTCAAATACATCAACAGTCTCCTTTTATTAATATTTATCTTAGACTCTTCCTCATTCTCTTGTTGATGAATTATTTTAACTTGGCCAAAGCATGGAAGAGTTTGACTCCATCTTAACTTTAAGGTTGATTTTTTACATTTGGCAAGTGGTTATAGTAATATTTAGCTTTCTTGTTTTGATGTTGCTAGATTCCTTAAACAGTATGAATGAAAAACAGATAAAACCATTTGGTCCACCCGCGCTGAATCAACATGTATTCATGACCCTGACCTGCTGCTGCTTCGCCTGCTCCTCTTCTAAGGCAGCTAATTCCATCTCCTCTCTCTGCTGCTCCTCCAGCATTTCCATCTTCAGCTGCTCCAGGAACTCGCTATGCTCATCATCCAGCCAGGCCTCTTCCAGCTGACGGTGAAATAATAAGGAAGAGAAAACATTTGGAGAGAGGGAGGAGAGCAGGAACAAATGGGTAGCATCATTTTTCACAGTCCGGAGCTTGTGACAACACTCTTAAAACAAATGCTAGTTTTCCAAATGGGTGCCCAAATGGGATTTGCTGAATGAATCCCCTGCATAAGAAAAATATGTGGCTTTTTTCTTTGTTCCCAACACAACAGCTGATTTAAAAATCAGGCCGATCCAGTTTAACGGTCATAAAACCACCACTTTTGACCTTTTTTCCTTCCTGCCATCCATCAGCCTGTTTCATGTGAACCAAATGGCATCCATATCTGATGACTACACATTTATTACCAAAAGAACCATTTAATTACAAAGAGCCCTACTACTACTTCCTCCTCATCTGCACTGCGGCAGAGTCCCCCATCTTCCTCGTCATTGGCCTGAGGGCTGAACTCACTCCACATTAGCATGCCATTAGCTTTTATGGCTTACCATTGGAAGTCAATTACTGTGGCGCTACATAAAAATAAAACACGATGAGGTGTTTCTGTGCTGGCTTCCACCAGGAACAGTTGTGTACTGGGAAAGAGGGGAGTGGTTGGTCACCCCAGAATGCTGAGGTTTGCTCTAAGCCAACTCTCTGCTAATGAGAAACCATGAGAAGAGTCATGTGTACTTGTGTGAGTCAGATAAACCAGTGTGGAGTTTTTAATTCTAACCTGTATCTCAGGTCTTGCAACCAGTAGGATTATGTTCCTGCAGTCATCACCGGACAGGGCAGCCATTGCTTCTTCTCTGTCCAGTACATCTTGGCCATTAATCTAAAAATAAAAAAAATAAAAAAATAAAATAGACCAACATTTTCACTTTAACACATTTTAAAGTGGAAGGTTAATAAACAGTTTATCTCATACCCAGTTGAGCAGCCTCAGTTTAGAGAAATACTGATTAGTTCTGATCAGGCTGACCAGCTTAGACAAAGCCAAGACCAAAGAGAATTGCCACCATTTCAAACTAAGTCCCTCAATCTCAAAGAAGATTTAACGTGAGCTCTAATTTATGAACATTTTCATTGCTGCTCGGTTCCCATGCTATATTTATTTACATAAAAATGCCTGGATATTTTCAAGAGCTAACACTGGCAGTAGCAGCTAGTCAGAGCCGTTACCAGCTTTGTGACTCCTAGCTAGCAACAATATAGCAACTTTTCAGGTGTTATTAGACACTTTAAGAACCTGTACACATGAATAAAAACTCCAACCATGTTGGAGTGTTGCAAATCTTCTGTTGTCAGCATTTGCTTGTGGATGAAAATAACCGAGGTTTTAGGTTTTGCAAGTGCTCTGACATCACTTAAGTAACTAATGTTTACACTCGCTTGCTTGTTTTCACAAGCTCAATTACGGCTCCATGTTGGAGATCACAGCGAACTCATGTGAAACTGACAGTGGTGAAACAGAAGTTTGGAGAAGTTTTAAGGTTGGAGTCAAGCACTTTGGAACAGGCCAAACTCAGACATTAGCTGGTCAGTTATGTTGGAGTTAATCTCCATTTCTCCAATCTGAGGTCATACAATAAGCCATTACAACAGCTAAAATGTCACTCATAGTTCATTTGTTTTAATAAAGCAATCTGAGTGATCCCTTAAAATAAACCACAAGCAAGGCCCCATTCACAGAAACACACCTGCTCTTATAAAAAGCAAAGCGTCTCAGTTAAAGTAGCATTCTACGATAACACATTTGATGGAACTGTGAACACTTGCAGCTTAATTTGAACCAGGATCCAGGCAGTGATTATGAATGAGGTGACCAGCGGAGCTGTTGTGTTTCCACATCCTCTGCGTCCATGCATCTAGCTGCACAATTAACTGGCCACTGACAGGTGGCTTCCATCTTTCTGCCTGCAGAATAATGGCCCTGTCACCGGTGGATAATAGGGGTGGAGGACCAGTCTGCCTCACACATGTTCATATGCCTGATCTGGGCTAAAATCAGCCACACCACTCATGGTACACTCAATTAGAAGATTAGACATGTGCCCATTCCCCACTAGACCATAGTATATCCCTTACATCTACTGTAAAATCTGCTGCAGCACATTCTCAATGTTGTTTGGATAAAACAAACATTTATTTATTTGTAGACAGTAAAAAATAAAGATCCACTTGCATTCTACTGTGGTTTTTATCCCTCTCCTAACCAATTAAAGGCATCTAAAATATTAACAGAAATCTATCCACAGAGATAGCATGATGGCGCCTGTGTTAGGCTCGGCCTCTGCTCTGTGTGCTTCGTCACCACTCTCTCGCATGTTGGTGACCTGTTTGATTATATTTTTTGCCTTATCAAGTTTGTCAACAAACTGTGTCTCAGCTGTCAGTCAATACCATTATGATCGGCACACGCTTTTCCGCATTAAGGAGCATATGCAGATTGCTTGTGTTACCTGGGACAGGTACGCTGAATGTTTTGCACCAACTTTTGTTTGTGCTACGTCAGCACTGGAATGCTTGCGGCCCTCAGGCCGCCGTGGACGGAGAAGGAAGCGTGGATCTAGAGCTGGAATCCAGTACAGGCTACGAAAACATTATGGGAAAACATCTGTATGGAGTGAGTCCAGATTTGCGATATGCGCCACTGCCCCATGTGGTGCCACGATCGTGGCTCTCTGACCGGACTTTCCCATCTCGACGTAGCCAGTTCCATACATCCCGTGAGGGGATCCTCCGAGCTGTCCCCTACCAGGCGGAATGTGTGAACGGCGCCTGCCCTCCAGTGCGGTGCCAACCTACCCAGAGCGCATCAGAGGCCCAGTGCGCGAAAACAGCAAGGATCGCCCTGCTGAACGTTCGCTCCATAGCGAATAAAACTTTCATCCTTGGAGATATGTTTAATGAAGAGCGTCTGGATCTCATGTGATTGACAGAAACTTGGCAGAGGGAACAAGATCATATGCTTTTAAACGAGATGTGCCCTCCTGGCTGTTCTGTGTTTGGGACCCCGCGCGCCGAGCGGACGAGGAGGCAGACTCGCTCTTATCTACAGGGACCGCTTCTCCTGTCGGCTTATGAACCAACCCTCTTACAACTCCTTTGAGCTGCAAATGGTTAAGGTTAGGAAAACTGACTCATTTTACTGTGTTTTAGTTTATCGTCCTCCTGGCCCTGCACACATGTTTTTAGATGAATTTTCAGAGTTCTTTTCCGGTGTTATTAAACTTGAGAATGTTTTAATCCTTGGCGATATGAACATTCATATTGATAATCCTTCTTGTAAGACAGCATCAGAGCTACTGAATCTCACTGAGTCATTTCATTTTAAACAGCATGTGTCTGGCTCTACACATTCAAAAGGCCATACCTTAAATGTAGTTTTTTTTTCTTTTGGTCTTAATGAAGACAAGCTGAGGGCTGTGGATGTTCATTTTACTGGTCACTACTGTGTGTATTTTAATCTGTGTTTTAAATTAGAAAGTAAACCTCATAAAGTAATTTCCCAAAGGCTAATTATAAGTCAAACTGCTGTTGAAAAATTCTCCAATCTGTTTGAGTCAGAACGTTTTGATGGTCACAGTGATGCTGATCATTTTATTGGCTCATTTAATAGTCACTCTTTGTCCCTTCTAAATGAGGTTGCCCCAGTTAGGGAACAAATATCTTTTACTAAAAACACTATCCCTTGGATGAATGAAAACATCAAGCTGGTTAGGAGATCTTGCCGTAAGGTGGAACGTTTGTGGAAATCTACAAAACTTGAGGTCCACAGATTGCATTTAAAAGAGTTGATCTCATCGCTCAATGAGTTGATTAAACAGGCCAGATCTTCGTATTTTTCTAACCTTGTGAACATGAACAGGAAAAACCCTGAATTCTTGTTTGACACAATCAGTAAAATTGTTTCACTGCCAGCTTCCATGGTACCTGTATTTTCTACAGTGGATTGCAACAGATCTTTTAACTTTTTTGTAAAACAAGTTGATGACATTAGGTCGTGCATTAGGTGCTAGTATTACTCCATCCCCTGTCTTAAATTCTAACATTGGTCACTCAGATAGCTTGTGGTCCTCATTTATACCTGTTACTGTGGAGGACATAAAAGCTGCTCTGGAAAAGATGAGGCCTTCTTCCTGCCCATTAGATGTAGTTCCCTCATCACTGCTCTTGAAAGTTTGGGATGTTGTTGGCCCACACATCACCAAACTTTTTATCATTTCACTTTCTACTGGGTCAGTTCCAAGCTACTTCAAACAAGCAGCCTTAAGCCCTATTTTGAAAAAGCCCAATTTGGACCCATCTGAACCTGGCAACTATAGGCAAATTTCAAAACACTCTTTTTTGGCAAAAATTTTGGAGAAGTCGGTGGCAGGGCAGCTGACTACTTTTCTGGACCTTAATAATGTTTTAGATAAGTTCCAATCAGGCTTTCGTAAGATGCATTCCACTGAAACAGCACTGTTAAAGGTATCTAATGATGTACTGATGGCGGCAGACTCAGGTCAATATACTGTACTGGTTTCATTGAATTTGTCTTCAGCTTTTGACACGGTTGACCATAAAATTCTGTTACATCGACTACACAATGACTTAGGATTTTCTGGTACGGTTCTGAAGTGGTTTTCTTCCTATTTAAATAACAGAACATTCTCTGTATGTGTAAACAAGAGTAGATCTGAAGTCGCATCATTGCTTCACGGTGTTCCCCAGGGCTCGGTCCTTGGCCCTATTTTGCTTCTTTTATATAATTGCCCTCTTGGGGAGATTATCAAGAGCTTTACTAATGTGTCCTACCATTTATATGTGGATGACATTCAACTGTACTGCTCTTTCAAGGACATAGAGTTTAACAAGTTAGCTGATCTACTTGATTGCAGTGAGCGTATTAAGGCCAGTAACTGTCTTCAGTTGAACTCAAGCAAGACTGGAACACTGCTCATTGCTCCTGAACAGAAAGTGCTTTTAATCAAACAACACCTCAGTTCCCTGAGCTCATCAGTCCAGACCAGTCTCAGAAACCTTGGTGTTCTTTTTGACCAGTTCATGTCTTTGAGCTGCCACTCAAAACATTTAGTAAAGAACTGCTTTTATCATTTGCGAAACATTTCCAAATTGAGAGCTTTTACTTCAAAATCGGACTTGGAGATGATTATCCATGCTTTTATTTCTTCTCGTTTAGATTATTGTAATTCTATCTTTACTTGTTGTAACAAATCAAATGTCAGTCGTCTCCAGCCTACTGAAGGTCCCTACGACCAGATTTAAAACTAGAGGGGACCTGTCCTTTCAAGCTGTAGCACCCAAACTTTGGAACGCCATGCCTTTGTTTCTTCGTGTGGCCGACTCGGTTGATTCTTTTAAAAAGCAGCTGAAGACACTTTTATTTAGACAAGCTTTTATGTAAGTTGACCTTGTGCTCCTGTCCTGTTTTGCCTTTTTATGTATGTTGTGAAGCACTTTGTGATTTTATCAGTGAAAAGTGCTATATAAATAAAGTTTTACTTACTTACTTACAGAAATAGAAAAGTAATAGGTAATAGCCATGCCATAATTCCAACCCCCCTTTTCACTCTACCTTTATTATTTTTATTTTAAAAAAATGCATTTTGACAAGTTTGCAAAAGTCATTTGATATGCAACTGCCAAAAGCACTGTAATAAAATCAAGAGCCATTTTTCCCCTACAAAATGTACTTTACTATGAAAAATAATGAAATAATTCAAACTGTTGCGAAAAAAAATAAACCTCAGGAAAAATATACTAATTTTCAGTTAGAATCTCATTGAATCAGTAAGTACGACATTTCTGTAGGTCTCGCAACTGCAA